GTGTACAGGTCCACTACGGAGGCGACCCCCGGCTCCCGGGGCGTCCAGAGCCGCATCGCCGCCTTCATCTTCCGGGGCCGGCTGCCGGGGAACCGGCTGGGTCTCCAAGGGTTCCACCTGGTGAGGCCAGCTGGTGAGTGCGCGGCCGGGGAGGGGGGCGAACCGAGCCGGAGCCGCGTCCCGCCGGGACACCGTGGGCCTTGGGCCGGGGAGGCTGCCGAGCTGCTTCTCAGCCTGGCGGTGCAGGAAGCGGCCGTTTCCACACCCCCAGTTCCTTCCCTCTCGGCGGGGGGAAGGGGGCGTTCCCCGGAGCGCCTACTCCGCTTTCCTCCGGGCAGTTCCTCATTCCCGGGTCTCTCCCCACCGGGTCCCCGAAGGCCACCTGGTGCCACCGAGCACGTTAGGCGGGCCCAGGAAATTCCTCGGAGACCGAGTCACCCCTTAGCCTCCTTTCGCGCCTGGGGTCTTCTCCCCGTGGTCACTGTGGTTATCGCCCGGAGCGCCCGTGTGGAGACGGCGGGTGCTGGGCTGTTATCTGCTCCGGCTCCTGCGGTTTTCCTGGCGCGAGCCCGGGGGCGCAGCGTCGCTTGTTGGACAGAGCCTTCCGATACTACGCAGGCCCCGAGACGGTGTGTGTCCAATGCATGGCCTCCCAGGAGTCGTTTATTAGCTGGAAAAGAATTCCCCGCTTTTCGGAATGAGCAGGACGTGCGTCCAAGGTAGAAAACCGAAAGGACAGCCTCGTGTGCATCGTAGGGTGGCAGGACCCAGGCCTGGCGCGTTTCCGCTTTCCATTCCATTGAGTTTCAGTTTGTTTGCAGCCAAGCACCGTAAACCTACTGGCGAATAGATCGCGGCCTTGCGGAGATGTCACACTCAGTTCACGCTCAGGTTGAGCTGCTGTGAGCTGTTCGAGTCGCCCATGAGCAGCGTTTTCTGCAGGAGCACCAGTATGGTCCAAATAGCATTGGTTTGCGTTGGTTTCCTTTTGTTACCATCCCAGGTAATAGAACTCATTGGTTTTCCTGGAAGGAACTTAAATTCTTCTAATTCAGCTGACTAGAACTTAAATTCTTAGAACTCAGATGACCTACTTTTGTGGAATAGAAAACAAGTGAGAAAACTGGCAGGACGATCTAGCTGCCAAAGTGATCCCATCAGGAGAGGATGGGGAGATCTCTTGGAGGCAGGGGTTCCTGTGGCCTCTGAAACCAGAGAGGGTCTGGCCTTGTTAGGGCTCAGCCTCCCTCTAGGTAGTCCCACCGGCTGCCCTAGTTTTGCACCAGCCACTTTCTGCAAGCTCTTCCTTCCCCAGAAATGCTTCCTTCTGCTCTCTGTCAGCTCCCTTGTGACTTTTAGATTACAGCTGTGTTTCTTTACAGTAAAGCTAGAATGTCTCAGCTAGAATGTTTCAACATGAGTGAGTGGTCAACTCTCTAGCCCAGAATTACCGCTCATCTGAAGTATTCTGGCTGCCCTAAAGACATCATCTGTGTTGGTCTGCTGCCCGTTAAAGCTATTTTCATTTGCCTTTATTCTCCTTTTCTGGTCAAGAGACAGAGCTAAAGTAAGATTTCTCATTGCCTTCTTTTTTTTTTTTTTTTGGAGAGGTTTTTGCTATAGGGCGCATGCACTTGCCAGGGAGACAGAGAGACAAAAAGCGAGAAATCACCCCCCAGAGGGATGGCGATGCTGCATTTCCTTCTCCTCCATTCTCCTCTCGGGATCTTTTTTTTTTTGGAGAGGTTTTTGCTATAGGGCGTGTGCACTTGCCAGACAGACAGAGAGAGATAGAGAGACAGAAAGCGAGAAATCACCCCCCAGAGGGATGGCCATGCTGCAATCCCTTCTCCTCCATTCTCCTCTCCAGATCTTGGGCATGCACGCACACGTGTCCAATGTGAGTTTAAGCCACCGGCTCCAGGACTCGAACCACGGTCCACTACATGGGAGTCCAGCGACATAGCCATACACTATCTGCTGATCCCTCCTCTCCGGATCTTGAACACAGACGCACATGCGCCTGGCGTGAGTTTAAGCCACCAGGTCCAGGACTCGAACCGCAGTTGACTACATGGGAGTCCAGTGACATAGCCATTAGGCTAACTTCTGGTCCCAGAAATGTTTTCTTTAATATGATGCTTAACATTTTTTTCTATTAGTGCTTTCCATTTTTTTTTTAGATAACTATTTATTTGATTTTCTTTATTCATTTATTTAAATTTGATCAGAGAGAGAGGAAAAGTGAGAAAGCAAGCCACCAGGTCCGGGACTTGAATTGTGGGCGTGTCCAGCGCCTTTACCAGCTCGCCACTTGCTGGTCCCCTATTACTTTCACTTTGATGGTTGTCTTTTAATTCCTGCTTTATCTGTTTTCATAATGTCTTATCTCTTCACAACAACCATATATTATAGGAGTTACCCGGAAAGTCCCAAGGAAGTTATATATAAAGCCAATGAAAAATAACCCAGCCTGAGGCACCAACCCCATGCTCTACCTTTAGGTTGTTTTATTTTAGATGGTTCATTTTTAACAACTGTGTACAATTACAGAGTCCAATAAAGAAATAACTGTAATAGAGAAACCCATAATCAGAAAAGGAGGCGTTTTAAAGGGACCTGCACACCGTGAACAATTTTATGCAACATGTTGTTTGTTTATGAATATGTGTTCGTTATTCTGAACTCATAAGTCTTGCCAGATTCTCAAGACTTCAAGAGAGAAGGGCAGCCTACTCTAAAACTTAAAAGCTGGGCAGTGCCTATTTATTATTGTTATTTATTTATTGTTATTATTATTGTTATTTACTTTTGCAAGAGGGCACATGCACTTAACTGGAAAGACTAAGAGAAAGTGAGAAAGCAGCCCCCCACAGGAGATGGTCTGCCACAGCTCCTTCTCCTCCACCCTCCTTTGGGACTTTGGGCATGCCCACACATTCTCCAGGCGTGTTTTTCAGGTCTCTGGGGTTGAAACTGCACCATCTGCCCTGCGGGTCCGGCTGTTTAACCACACCACTGCCACTGGCCAGCCCTACTTAGGAGATATATATTTTTTAAAATTGAAAAGTGAGAAAGATTTATTTAAATTTGACCAGAGAGAGAGACACACACAGAGAGAGAGAGAGAAAGTAAGAAAGAGGGCCAGCAGGTGGTGTGGTGGTGAAGGACGCTGGACTCCCACATGGCTGACTGTGGTTTGAGTCCTGGACCTGGCAGCTTGCTTTCTCACTTTCCCTTTCTCTTGCTCTCAGTCTGTCCCTCTCTGGTCAAATTAAATAAATAAAGTTAAATAAAATAATTCTTTTTAAAAAAAGGAATAAAAAGAAAAGGAATGAAAGTGAGAAAGCAAGCCACCAGGTCTGGGACTTGAACTGTGGTTGGCCATGTGGGAGTGTCTAGCACCTTAACCACTACCACGCCACCTGCTGGTTTCTTCCTTTCTTTCTTTTTTTTCCTACTTAGGAGATTCTTCCATCAGAGTCCTAGGAGGCTGAATTCAATGACCTCTGAGGTTCTTTCCACTGTTAAGATGCCCATGAATCTCTGCAACTCCGTTGGGTTTACTGTTACGGAGGTAAAACTGAAAGGGTAGAAGAGTGGAACCTTCTACCTGAGTGGAACCTCACCCAGAGGAAGATTAGAGACAGAAAGCCTGACTGTCTAACTCTTAGAGCTATATCTACTGTTGTATGTAACCTGAGTTTTGCGGAAGATTTGTCCAAAATAAACATCTCCTAACTACTATCAGAAGCAGAAGAAACACTTGTCAGTGTAAGGAGTTACTGAAGTCCTAACCTTAATACCGCTTTCCAGTTTATCTTTAAATTTGTCCTTATGCTCATGTTTTTAATTTTTATTTTATTTATTTGTTTTAGATTTTTGCTATAGGGTGCATGTACTCACTAGAGAGACAGAAAGCGAGAAATCACTCCCCAGTGGGGATGGCCAAACCACAGTCCCTTCTCCTCTATTCTCTTCCTGGGATTTTGGGCACGTGTGCATGCACACGCATGTGCCCAGCACGAATTTCACGCTGCTGGGACTGGGACTTGAACCAGGGTTGGCCATGTCACCATTATGGGAGTTTGCAGTGTAACCATTATGCCATCTGTTGGTCCTGCTCCTATTTTATTTTGTGAGTTTTTTTAAGAGGTTTTTGCCTTAGATGCATGCACTTGCCTGAGGGCGAGACAGACACAGTGAGAGAAAAAGTGAGAAATCACTGCCCTGGGGGATGGTGTGCTGCAATCCCTTCTCCTCCATTCTCCTCCAGGAATCTTGGACATGCACGCACCTGTGCCCAGCGTGATTTTGAAGCCACCAGTTCCAGAACTCAAACTGTGGTCGACTGTTTAGGAGTACATCAATGTAACCATTACTCCTCTGTTGGCCCCATTTTTACTTCATTTTTAATTTTTTTTTTTTTTGGGGGGGAGAGGTTTTTGCTATAGGGTGTGTGCAGTGGCCAGAAAGACAGAGGGAGACAGAGACAGAAAGTGAGAAATCACCCCCCCAGGGCAAAGGCCACACTGCAATCCCTTCTCCTCCATACTCCTCTCAGGATCTTGGGCACGCATGCACACGGGCCTGGGTGAGTTTAAGCCACCGGGTCCAGGACTCAAACTGCAGTCGACTACATGGAGTCCAGTGACATAGCCATCACGCTAACTGCTAGTCCCTTTATTTAATTTTTAAAGGGAGTTGTTTTTGTCTAAAGGGGAGAATTGACATTTGGCAGTCTGGTTGCATCTCCGCTGGTGCAGTGACCTCAGTGTGTGTACTTCCCTCTCTGCAAGGAGCTCCAGCTCATGTTCGTGGTGCGAGCTGACTGTCCTGGCGCTCCGTGGTCTTGGAACCACAGCACTCTTCAGGCAAGCAGCTTATTCGCGGGTTCACCAGTGAATTAACTTTATTGAATTATAAGTAATGTTTTTTTTCTGTAAGTACCAAGAAGGAAATCACGTAGAGGCATTTTTTTTTTAATTGCTGCTCTTATCATCCTTTCATGAAAATTGAAAATTGGTGTGATGGTTGAGGCGCTGCACTCCTACGTGGCCGACTGCAGTTCAAGTCCCCTACGGCGACTTGCTTTCTCACTTTCCCTTTGTCTCGCTGGTCAAATGAAACATAAATAAAATTAAATAATTAATTGTTTTAAAGCATGAAAATTGAGCTAGTGGTCAAGGAAGCCAGATCCCAGTTGGAATCACAGCCCCCAGTGACTTGAAAAACACCGGGCACATGTGAGTGGTGGCCTGTATCCCAACAAGGAGGAAGGACGAGGGGGTTTCAGAGCCCCGCCCCAGTGGGGATTGCTTTCTCCCTCTCTGTCTCTTTGTCTCTCTCTGGTGAGCACACATGCCCTCTGGTAATTAAAGTAAAAATTGATATGTACTAAATTTAAATGTTCTTTTTTTTTAAAAAAAAAACTTGAGGAAGATCCATAATGTCAGCAAGTTACATCTTTTAACCTTTGTAAGAGTAAATATTTTCCTAAGTTAAGGGAGGCCTAGCTTACTCAGATTGGCAAAGTGTTCATTTAAACCTTATTTAAAACGAAAGGTGTGTTTTTTTTTTTTTTAAAGAATGATTTTATTTAACTTTATTTATTTATTTATTTTAATTGGACTGGAGAGGGACAGAGTGAGAGAGAGAGAGCAAGCCACCAGGTAGGAGACTCAGACCACAGTTGGCCACTTGGGAGTCCAGCACTCTTAACCACCACGCCACCTGCCGGCCCTCAAGAACAGGGCTTTTAATAGCAAGTTCATTAATTCATATTTATATAATTTTGTAGATGGAGCCTTATAATCAATGGCAAACATGGAAAAGTTATTTTACTTAAAAAAATTAGTAGACTGTTAAAGATAAATGATGGAGGGACCAGCAGTTAGCGTAATGGCTATGTCGCTGGACTCCCACGTAGTCGACCGCAGTTCGAGTCTCAGACCCGGTGGCTTAAAACTCACGCCGGGTGCGTGTGTGTGCATGCCCAAGATC